AAAAGTGTGGATTATTGTAACCTGGATTAAAAGTGTGGATTATTGTAGTGAAGCCTTCGTCTTCAACCATGGACAGAGGCCTCATGTCAGTGACGATCATGTTCAGGATGTTTCAGTGAAGACAGCTGCTGCTGTGGTGTCCATGATGTCTGTCCATCATGAAGGATGTTGTTGTTGTTGTTGTTTTCTGGAATGAGACAGTAAATATGTTTTATAGCATAATTTACAGCAACTCAAGAAATGCCTTGTTTCACTTACAGTGTTAGGTTCAGGCAAAAGTAGCTAAAAGAGCAATTAAACACACACACACATATTTATATATATAAAATATTTAATTACACACATTTGAGTAGATGTAACAAATGACTTAAATTCCTGTTTAAATGCAATTCATCCTGCCATACCTGCAGTGTCTTCAGACTTTGCCAGCAAATTAAAAGTTGAAGCTTAATCATTAAATTATTATCTTTGTGTTAGATTTATTTATAAATCACATTTAAACACTGCTTGTACCAATTAAATTAAATAAAAAGCAACACACGTTCTCTATCACCGTCATTAATCAGATAAACAAACAAACAAACAAACAAACAGCAGCTTCATCTTCAGACAGACTGACGTTACATTTTCTCTCTTGAAACAGAACAAAGTGTTAAATTGTAGAGACTCACCTGCAACACCAGTTGGGAGTGAGACATTTATCAGTTGCATCTTGTGACTCCGACATGTTTACGTTTATCTCCGTGGTTCTCCCGTGTCGTGTCGTAAATTTTCAAAGCTGCATGTTTCTCTTTTTTTTTTTTATCTTTGTCAAGTTCTCCCACACTTGGAGGACTTGGGTCGAACAGTTTTTGCTGCGTCGGTCATTTGTAAAATTTACTTAATTTCCTTTGAAAACACCGACTCTGCTCTGCCTCCTCCTCCCTCCTCGCTCTGTTCAACTCACGCTGCAGTTTTTTTTTTCAAACTTTATTCAGTCAGTCAGCATTGACAACGAACTGCCCGTGAACAAAACGAAACGGCTCTGCAGCGCCGTGAAAGACGCATAATCGCACGACACAACGAAACGATAATGAAATTAGTTGCCAACGCTTTTAATCATCGATTTTTATCGATTTGTTGTTGCAGCCCTAATTGATGAGACTACCTATATAAATAAAGGTATTAAAAAAAAAATCTGCCCATTGAAATTACCTAACAGGTCACAGCCGAAACAATGAAATGGGGGAGGAGAAAATGAGATTCTCCCCCTCTTCCATTCTGTCTGTGTGTTAAATCATAAAATAAAGTCACAAGGACCCACCCCCCAAGAGAGTCGTGTATTGGGCAGCTATAGCTCCTTATCCACAGGGCCTTTTCGGGCTCCTATGTAACCAGTTCAGGCCGATTGCGTAGTTTCTCCACAGTGCCTTCAGCCAGCGGTGGAACCCGCACGATTTTTGGGACCTGCTTCTCTGGGGGTCCCAGGCCTGGTTCTTGTTGGATCCAGATGTGATGTCAGCGCACTGCCGGTCACTGATTGGTCAGGAGGAGGAGTCACTGGATCTTTCAGAAACTTTTCAAAACACCAATCCGCCATTTGCAATTTCTTGGACTGGAGTAGCGGCTGGACCTATTTTAAAGATTTTAAAAACAATAATGCCAACACCGTGGTCTAATGCTGAAGTGCTGGCATTTTCTTTTTTGTGCTTGCTGGCTGACGACAAAATTCAGAGCGAGCTAGATGGAGCTCCGCCGGTCTACCCGGGTCCTCTCCACCGCAGCGTCGGAGCCAGGCAGGGCATCATGATCTCCTCGAGCTAAAAGTTTTCTGTGGAAGTAAAAAGCGATATTTACCGTTATGTTTTTTTGAGTTGAAAACTGTGTAAATGGTGTTAAAAGTATGTTTTCTTCGAAAGCTAAGTAGTAGAGAAGCTAGCTGGCCGTAGTTAGCATGTAGCTTTGTGCAGCTTCTCATCACAATATACTACCGGTAGATATCGCAGGGATATGAATTTTATGCCATATCAAACATCCTAGTCAAATGTTAGATCCAGTAGGAATGTGGACAGACCGACTGGCCAGCAAAAAAACAAACAAACAAAAAAACGCGACTACTGCCATGTTCTGTTTAGCCAGCATACATCGTCAGATCGCCATACGCGTAGCACAAACTGACGGCTGCATCTACACACTGTGAGATCACCATACGCTTCTATTTAATTTGCCATATCACACCATGACGTAGCAGTTAACCTGTCAAATCATCATACTTTGTTATTAACAGCTGTATGACACCCTGAGTGAACAGTTAAGGCAACGGAATGATTATATTGTTCTTATATTGTTTAAATTAAATTCACAAAGCTTGGACTAACTTCACTTGCACTCTTCGCACATAAACAGTTTTCGCTCCACCTGAAGTCGAGCACATATTACACGCAAAGCATCACCAAAACGATTTACTTACGGTTCAGGAAATGCATTGCACACTGTTAATTGTGTAAATACACAATAGCACCATGTGTACTTTGCACCAAAACAATTTACTGACTTACTTTTTGTTGTATCTTGCAGTGTAGGATGATCAGACAGCTCCTCTGAACGTCAGACTTATTGTAAAATGTGCATGCATGCGTATTGACTAAATGTATGATACCATAACATGTATGCTGAATGGACAGAACACCGGCAAAAAAAAAACCCTGACATAAGTAGCGTGTAGCTTCTCATCACAATAGACAATATCGCCGGGATATGAATTTTATGCCATATTGCACATCCTGACTCTGTATCCAACATGTGACTGTTCTTACAGTCAGTAAACACCAGATGTCCACAATAGTGAAACATATGATCGTCAGCACTAACTAAACAGACCTGTATTAACATGTACTGTAATGTGTATCATTTCAGGTTAATCAGTCAGTTCCTGTCTGAACTCCTCTAAGGCCATGGGTGTACTTGGAGAAATATGGGGCAGTAATGTGTGATCACTGCACTTTAAAGCAAGTATGTCATGACACAAACATTCAAAACTTGAAAATTACAAATAAAAGTAAAGGATAATGATGTTAAGAGGAGATTATAACAATTAATTTTTTCTTGTTTGTCAGATGCGGATGTAAAAACAGCCAGCCAGACATATGAAGCCATCGCTGGACCGCAGCATCAGGATCTGAGAGCTTGTGACTCCAGACTACACAGGGGCGGCTGTGGCTGAGAGGTTAGAGCAGTCGTCCTCCAATGCGAGAGTTGGGGTTTTGAATCCACCAGCAGTCACATATCTAAGTGTTCCTGGGCAAGACAATGAACCCCTCATAGCCTCTGATGTGTGTCCCATCGGTGTATGAATGTGGTGTAAAGCTCTGATTAGTCTCTTTAGAATGATTTGTTCAATTAGCTTTGTGGAGATCTAGTAGCAGTGTTTACCCTACCATTATACAAGCGGGGCAACCCGCCCTGTCAACAGAATTGAGTGCCCTGTCTACCGAACCCCACCCCCCACCCTCAACCACCTGTCGGCACTGACGTAACGCTAAACTAGCAGCTCACAATGGAGGTGCGCTAGCTAAAAAGCTAAAGGCAGCCTCTTTCTTCACGCTGAACCCTCATGCTGAACGCACCCCTGCCACTCAAAAGCTGTCAGTACAAACAGCACATGGCTCAGATGTGCGTCTGTCTTTCCCCCACACCGACAACCCCCCCCCCCAAAAAAAACCCCCCAAAACTGTCGGTTCAGACAGCGCGCAGCTGAGATATGTCTCTGTATCTCTCCTCTCACACACCCTGCTCTAAAACGGTCAGTACAAACAGCACGCGGCGTCTCTGTGTCCCCCAAAACTGTTGGTTTAAACAGCGCACTGCGCAGCCGA